ATGAGTGCGGACTCCACATTCAGCACATAGACACAATCCCAACCTCCCCTTGGGACATGCACACGCACGGCCACCCCCCCCTGGCATGGAAATAATATTACTGCCTGCACCAAATCGGTGACTGCTTGCACCAAGTCACGTGCACATCATGTCCAACTCCGTCCAAACTAACCTAACCTAAAACCTAAACCCTAAAACCTAAACCTACACCTGTCCTAACCCTAACCATAACCCTAAAACTCACCCTGAAACTAAACCTAACCCTAAAATTGAGGTTAGGACAACTACATACTATGACAACTGGACAACTACACACTACTATATTTTATGCCCCTGGCATGCACAAGTGTGAAGTGGCATGGCCCCCCGTATGGCCATTGCGCCCGCACCAAACGCACTCCTGCTGGAGGGGACCATTGCCTAATAGACGGGTGCGGTCAGGCAGTAAACTTCCGCCCCACATCAGTCGAACCGGACTCACCTGGACACAGCTCCACCTGCCACCGCCGCAGCCAGCCGGGCAGCAGTGCCCTGGCCCAAGGGGTCGAAGAGCGTCCGCCCCTGAGCCTCCCCGCCTGAATGCCGAGTGCCCCGGCCGGCTCAACACCCATACTCCACCGGGGCCCAAAGTGCGGGGCCAACTGTTAGGCGCGAAGGAGCTTCCTGTGATAGGTGAGGCGGGATCACCATTAGCATGGAGATTTCCTGTGCGTCCAGGAGCGCGGGTTTGGAAATTGACTTGCGGATATCGGCCTCAGGGAGTTCGCCAATTTCGGTTTCGCGCGTCGCGAGCGTTGGGCACCAGGTGGGGAGCTGTGTGGATAGCGGATCGTGGAATCTGGGATGCACCTGGCCGGTGGACCGGGCGTCCATGTGGTGTAGCGGTCCCGGGGCGCGGCTTGCGATGCTAGAGCGCTGGATTCGGATGCTTTTCTGGGCATCCGGCGTCGCTGGAGGATTCAGATTCAGTTCTGAACGATTTTGTTCGAGGCCGCCACCACGGCGGTGGCTGGCCCCCGCCTGGCCGTCTCCCGGGCGGCACCACCCGCTGACGTCCGTCGGGCCACCGCCTGAATGCAGAGGGCAGCCAGTGACGGTATGCACGGTCAATGCTGCGCAATTGGATTCGCGGAAACCTCGACTGGGCGCATCGTTCGGCGATTTGGATCCAAGGAAACGAAGGTGTGTAGGATGCTGGATCTGTGCGACCGAGCTTCAGAGCACCTGTGCTATGTGCGCGACGTTGGTAGCCCCAGGACTGTAAACTGCGGGCCATGGGCGCTGACGTCGAAGTGCTTATGTGTTTCAAGTGCGGCCAGTGCTCAGCGAGGGTGTCGTCGCCCGTTAGTTCAGATGTGGTCCTCCTTGAGGCGCTGACTAGCTCTGTTGTGCCACAGCAGGTGATAAGGTGCGCACAACGGTCGTGACCCCATTCGACGATTGGGCGACGTTTTCTGGGACGCGAGGCGCCATTGCCAGGTTAGGGATGGTGCGCAAGGGGTAGTGTTGGTGCAGGGCTGACAACGTGTCATCTTGCAATCACACACCTGTGAGGGCAAAGTCGAATCAAGGGATTCAGGCTTGGCATTCCAACCTTTGTCCCCTGAGCAGAAGAAGCGGTGGGGAATGGGTGAGTTCGGGAATCTTAGGAGGGACCTTCGGGTGGATGTGGAAAGGAGCGAGGAGACCAGTTTGCTGGGCAGCGGGGCATTCGGCGAAGTCAGGAAAGGACTTGCTGTTGTTGAAGGAGTGCGGAGACCTGTCGCCGTGAAGTATGCAAACAGGCTGCATCCAAGGGAAGCGAGAAAATCGTTCGACAATGAGCTCAGGGTGTATGACAGCTTGTACGAGCACTGCAAGCACCCACGTATCCTTGAGTGCTTCGGCGGTAACTTGGGAGTTGAGGATTCTGACGAGGAAGACGACCAGACTGTGGACAAAATGTTCATTGTGCTGGAGCTGATGGACATGAGCCTACGTGATCTGATTTACGAACCTGAGCATGCCGACCATAGGAACTACCGCACAATCCTGCTCGTCTGCGCACAGATTGCAGAGGGATTGGAATTTCTGCACCACAACAGAATCGTTCACTACGACATCAAGCCTTCCAACGTACTGATAACAGAGAAGGATGGTGCGCAGTTCCATGGAAGGGCCTGCAGGTTTGTGGTGAAGCTGGCAGACTTTGGGCTGTCCAAAATGAGGATGCAAAGGTCGACTGCAGCCAGTTTCAAGGGCCAGGTTGGCTACATGGCCCCAGAAATTTTCATGTCCCTGCACTTCAGGGGAAAGCGAGCCACTGACAAGGTGGATGTCTACTCACTTGGCGTGCTCATCTGGGAGTTTGTGATGCAGAAGGACCGTTTGAGCGAGTCCATGGGTGAGTCCATAGAGAGTGTGCCCTCTCCAGCCAGTGACAATCTGAGTGAGTCGGACTGCTACTTGGGCAGCTCCAGGTTCACCATGCCAAAGAGTGTCCCAAAGGATCTCAGGGACTTGATTGGGAAGTGTGTTGAATACAGACCAGACACCCGTCCTGCCTGCTCTGAGGTTCAGGGAACTCTGTTGAAGCTGGCTGATGAGCCATGGGCGCTCAGGACCCCTGCTGATCTTGCCGATGCAGAAGACTTGCAAGGACAGGCTGCAGTATCAATTGCAGACTCAGCAATGGATAGACATCAAGAGGGCCCACCTGAGGCATGCCTCCCCCGCATCAACTTGCAGATCGAGGTTGAGTATCCTGACAGGTGCAGCGAGGCGAGCAGCCTGGTGGGCGGAGGTCCATACAGCGTTGTCGAGAAGGGGGTGTGCAAGGACGACTCAGCAAAAGGGCACCGTGTCATTGTGAAGCATGCCAAAGTGGTGCAATACCGGGACCTGTTCAAGCACGAGCTTGAGATGTTCAGCCGCCTTCCAGAGCACCCAAACATTGCAAGGTGCTATGGTGGGTCGCTCGGCCAGGGCAATGGCAGCGAGCCAGGCGCAGATCGCGACATATTCATCGTCATAGAGGAGTTGGGGCAAAGCTGGGAGGCATTCCTCCTCGATAACACGGTCAAGGTAAAGGGCGGCAAGGTCATCAGGTCAGACACCAGATATTTTACGATGCTCAAGGCCTTCCATGATGTCGCCTCTGGCCTGAGACACTGCCACGACAACAGCATTATTTACGGCAATCTAAACCCGCAGAATGTGCTTCTCAACAAGGAGGGCTGTGCAAAGCTCACCAGCCTGATGTTCTCCAGGTTTTTCTCGGACTGCTACAGCAGCTTCCACCCCGAAATTGCAGTGGTGTCGCCGGAGCTGCTGCTCGGCAGGTATCACAGGTACCAGGAGTTCACCGAGAAGATGGACATCTTCGCCCTTGGCGCCTTCATGTGGGGCAGCCTGGAGATAGACGCGCAGGCAATCGACCAGGTGCTGAGACCACCCAGAGAAACTGACAACGGGCAAGAGCAGCAGGGCTGCTCTGGCCTGGCCTTGAGTGAACATTACCCTGACGAACTCAGGGCCCTGATCCTGAACTGCACAGCGATTTTGCCCACATCCCGGCCCAGCTGCCAAGAAGTCGTGGGCTCTTTGGAGCGCATGCTGGTGTCGACGTGGGTCCAAAACCCGGTGTTCAAGATCGATGTTCAAGGCGTGAGCACGGTGCCGTGGATATGCGCAACTCCAACTCGACGGTTCATAAAAAACCGGGCGGTGAAGGAGAACACTGTGCACACCTGGTTCGCACAGACGCTGAAAGTACTGGATCGGTTTCTGGGCTACGCTTAGTTGGGCGACCGATTGGTCAGGGGAACTGGAGTGTCTCTTGGTTCACGCTGAAGCTTTGCTGGAATGCTGCTAAAGGTTGCTGAACGCTTCTGTCAAAATCGTGCTGACATGGTCGTGACCAATCGCGTGCGCGGGCTGGCTACACCGCCACTGGAACCCATGGCCACAGCCGAACAGAAAGTGTCCCGGCCGAAATAGGCAGAAGTTTCCAATTGCGAGACATGTTGTGCGGAACTGAAGCAATTTCATTGGGGACGCGTGCTGGGCGCCAGAGCGTCTCAATTGCGTCCTGAGCCAGGTATTTCATTTGTGGCAAGTTGGTCTTTGGATGGAACGAGTCCAGTGCGTTCTGTGCATGGATTCGAAACATTGCGCTGCTCGGGATTGGTTTCAGTACTGTCCTCTGTGGTTCGAGTGCATCTCCAGAGCTTGCCTGGCACATGCACAGGATTGACAACGGTTGCAAACGGTTGCTGCATTCAGCACATTGAAAAACATCTCCTCCTGCACAAGTTGGGATGTGCAGACGCATATCTGAAAAGAATCGTTAAATGTTCTGTGCATCAGCGGTCCAAGGACATGGCCACTTCGCCAAAGTCTGGAGCGAAGCGCCATGCAGATCTTCGCTTGTCCAAGCAGTCAGTGGATGTGGAAAAGACCGCGTGCCCTGTGTCGAGCACTGGTCAGCCCAATGAGCGCGGTTCCACAATCGATTCCTCGGGGACTGGGCCCCAACAAAACCCTAAGTTGTCTTTTGTGAGCGCCAAACCTCAACACTGCGCACCTTCGGAGCAGACAAGGCCAGCAGGCGCGAACTGCCTACCAATCAAGGCCGCCACACACACCCAATCACTTCCTTCACTCTGCTATTCCCATCTCGCTCAGCTTCCTCCGCCCACGCTCCTCAGCGGGCGGTGGAACCTGCAGCACCTCGCACAAAACTTTCCACCTGTTTGGCACCACCCACGCCCTAAGGTATGAATTGTAAAGCACAAAAATGGGAAAAGTAACGAACACCAGTTCCGGGAGCCGTGTTACGACTCGCCCTCCTGGCTTTCGTCGCTGGGACCCGGTTGAACGGCCGCCTCCTCTTCCGCTCCCTGTGGCGCCTCCTGCCGCGTCTCGATGGACTGGATCATGTCCCTCATGCGCTCAATGGCCGCCGGGCTTGAGAACATCTCGTCCAAAGACGTGGCAGCCTCGACCAGCGTGTGCACGTTGACAGAGATCCTGTCCAGCTGGTCTGGCCCCAGGCCTTCCATGGTCAGCAGCTGCTGCAGTGCTGGGTGCAGCTCCGCATTGCTGCCAGTGCCCAGAATGCGCTCCAAATCGTCCAAGTCCAGTCCATTAAGCTCACCCGCTGCGACAGCAGGCAGGACAATTGTCAATGACTGCACATGAGGGGATTCGGAATGGAGTCTGCGCTAACTGCGCTTATGAAATGCAACAAATGCAGTGTGCTGTGGGGTTCGATTGTCACGGCGGTGTGGCTCTGTTGTGTCTGCAACAACAACACTTTTTGCCAGCAACGATCGCAGGCAGGCCTGCATGCCAGGCCAACACCTGCCAACAGAGATTCCAGCACATCTGGACGGTATTCTGCAGTACCCAGCCTTGAAAAATTGCCCAAGGCCACGCTTTTAGGCCAGCAGAGTTGGGAGGGGAGGGGGGAGCCGCAGAGCGACCGCTGGACAACACTGGGCAAAAACGCACCGTCATCGAACTCTCCACCACCAACGAACACATCCTCTTCCTCATCGTCGTATGACCCTCGCACATCGTCCAAGTCAACTCCCCCTTCCCCCTCCCCATCGTTATCATCATCTTCGTCAATACCACCAGCTCCGCTGACACTTCCACCACCCCCTTTGTCATCCAAAACAAGGTCCCATGTCAGCGCCGCGATAGAATTCCTTCCAGAACAGTGAACTTGACAGCTATGCTGGCATTGATGGGTTTAGACAATCAACCTGCAACCATTCAGACTACAAGACTGAATCCAAGGCCAAAGGTGGACACAGCGAACATGCTGCATCAATATAACTCTGGGCAAATTCATCTCGCAATCATATATGCAATAGACAATGTTGGGCCTTTGCATACAATTGCAATGCATGTCTGCAACACAGAAACCGTGGTTGAAGTGCTGGGGCCAAAAAAACAGCAAATGCAGCCAACAGACCACACTGCAGCATCCACACCAAATCAACGGACGAAAAAACAGCAGCTGCCCGACCAACGGGGCGATGTGGACGAACACATCTCCTAGCAGTTAATTTCCACGGAGCCGCCTGCATGAAGCCGGTCGCTACACGACCAAGCTCTGCATTTGCATCCAGGTGACGATGATGAGGAGCTGCTCCTCAGGTTGTTCGACATCTCGAAAGTATGTAGCACATCATTTGAACGGCAGGAAACTGCTATCTTGCCAGTCAACTAAAATACTTCCCCACCATTTTCAATGCTGCATCACTGCAACAATGCATGCTTCAGTTTGCGGTAGGGAAAGCATTCTCACAAATATGGATGTTTTGTAGGGCATAGTTGGTATGGCAAAGTGCAGCTACCCACAGTGTCTTGTGCCTGCTTCTCCCAGCAAGGATGTTGCTCAGTGATTTCCTAACCAAGGGATTCTCTCACTCAGGAAGGGGCACTCGCTGCCTGATATGTTCTTTCATATTTTTTCACCTGTGTCAGGATCGTTGGGGACTGGCTCCTCGTGTGGATCGGCCTCCATATCATCATCGTCCATAGGAACATACGGCGTCTCCAGTGTTGGCAGCACAGCACCCAAAGAAGGTGCATCCAGGGGTGCAGCAACGTCCAAGCCAATAGCTACATCTTCTCCAGATGGTGAGACCACTGGTATGCCAACATCAGGGAATCCTGAGGAGAGGAAACGCACTGATTCACAATCAATCCTTGCAAGAGACAAAATTGTACGTACCAATCACAACCTGCATATGCCTTGAATGTCGAATTTCCAATGCCTGAAAAACATGGGCCAGCTGAACTAAAAGAGTGCTAAAAGAGGTGGACATATGCTTTACCACACCTCACAGCAACCAGGAAGCGAGCCACAATGCTGCTGACAAGTCTGCAATCATCTCCTTGGCAGCACTGTGTGTTGTTCGCCCTTCAAGGGATCACCTGTGCTTGCCCATTCCCTACACAGTGGCAGAGTGGAGAAATGCTATATCTCTTTGGCAATGGAGACAAGTTCCTCCAATGTCTGACTTGTCTATTCCTTAATAATTCTCAACAACCCTGGACTCACTTGCTCTCTCAACACCAAATATTCAAGCCCACCGTCAATCACAGCATACGAATCTTTCTTGCGGAACTTTTCATGCACCGCCACTTCGCATCTCCAAGCAGCAGTGCTGTAGCTCCACAATTTGTCATCACAAAGCCAGATTATGTCACATCTTCTGCACCCCATTTCCTGTGATACTTGTTGCATACCGAAGGTCATGTACTATCTTCTGTGCCAAATTGGACAGAACGGTATGGTCCTCATGATAAAGTCCATCTGATATAGTGTGCCTTTGCTAAACAGAACAGATCCATGCACCTTATAGGCTCTGACAGGCAAAACCGCTGTGCTGATTATGGCTGCCATTGAGGGTCCCATACCATTGATGGTATCCTTTGTGCCACAACAGTTAGCCCTACCTTCTGATGGTGTTTGCGATGTGTCTGCAATAGAGCCTTCCTGTGGCACTTGCTCCGCGTCTACCCCTGTCCCGCTTTCCCCCAGTGATGGCTGTGACCCGTGTGCAGCCATCACTTCCTCACCCGGTGGTCTTCTGTCCCCAACCTCTGCACAACGCCCCTCACCCTGCTCCTCCCCTTCCTGCAGTTCGGCCTGGTCAGGTTCTTGTGAGCTTGTAGCCTGCTGGTTTGAGGGGCCCTCTTCCTGAGCACCGGTGTTGCGCAGCAGCCACCCCACAGCGATCTCAACGTTGTTGTTGAATGTGAGTAGCGCTCGAGTTGCCTTCATGCACCCACACAAGTTGCTCTTGTTGGCTGGTGGTTCCTTGTTAAGGAGCGAACATATTGGTTGGCAGTGAGCAAATACTGCAGTGGCATCAACCATCTGTCAGCTGCCAGTTTGATGTAGGGCCATTGCTTTGTCATGTGCAACAAATGCAATCGCAATAATTCCAAGAACATTCCAGGAACACAACTAGAGTATGTAGCCAATGTCTTGTTCCAAAGTCTTTACATCCATCACAAATTCAGTGCAGGCCATTATGCACCTTTGTAAGGAACACAAAATGGCGCTTTCACAGCAGGGAGCACAAAAGTCTAACTGACGATCCCCTGTACCTGGTCTTGCGCAAAACCCATCTCCCTCAACTGTGCAATGAGCGAAGCGTCCGCCTGCCTGGTCTGAATCGACCTGGGAGGGGTACCATAGATCCTGCGCAGCTGCTCCTGGGGAATGGGCACGTCTGCTGCCGGGTCACTGCTGTGTTGAAGGATCCAGTTCAGGGCTGGCTGCCACAACGAGAAACACAGAAACCACGGTTTAGACTTGGATTGTGCTTTTCAGCCAGGCAACAACATTTAATGCAACATTTTGCAGACGTCTACAACTGCGTCATGCTCAAAAGAAATATTCTGGACCAAGGCAAGGGGTGCCGTTGTTGTTGAATGACTGGATGGAGAATCAATACTGGCAAGTGCTGTACCTCTGTCCCTTTGGGTTCATCTCCAATTGGTGCACAAACTCAGTGCCCATACCCTTGTGGTGCTAGTGTTAGGGACAGGTGTTCAAACGACAAAGCAAAAAAGCAAGACCTGCCACAGGCAAATGACATCTTGTTCCCATCTAGAACACAGAAAACAATTTTAGTTCCCACAGGCAATAATTTGTAAAACAGCAGAAAAGAAAATGATGTGGGTCACATGAGCCAACACTGTTCTCATGCAGAATCCCGCTTATGAAGAAGCCGATCATAAAAGAGCAATATGGCACCAGGCAAAAGCAAACAGCAGGGGTAAAACCACAGAGTGCAGCTCAACTGAGCAGCTGCCAAGCAGAACAGGCTACATCCTGTCTCCAAATGGGGCAATGGTCACCCATGGCACAGGATGACATTCAACGTTATTTTCCATTTGCAAGCTAACTATCACCACAAGGCAGGGGAACCGATGCTGCCTGGTATTGATCCTCCTTAAATCAGAACCATACCTCCTCTAGAGTAATTTTGACAAGCATTGGTTGGGTGCCCAACATTGTCCTGCATGCAACATGGTTCACCAGACTAAGGTTTTAACACAGACCTTCCCCCCAATAAAATAAAAGGAAGGGATCAGCTGAGGCAATGCACACCATTGATTGTATCATTCACCCTGAAGGCACAGTGGCACAATCCTGTTTTGGTGAAACTGCTGCAATGCACCCAAAAGCCGATATCGATGGCAGCAAACTGTGCATTTTATTCCAGAGCACTTCTCACAGCCCACCTGCCCATATTCAGAGAGCAAGGGGCCCAGCCCACTGTTCTCAGTGGCATGTAAGCCTTCAAACAACCTCCAGCGAGCAAGGTGCAAGTAAGCTGCACCATTGCAAGCTTCCCCTACTCCTCAGTACTTGCAGCCAATTCTGCCGGGTTCAAGCGCGAATCCAAATTTCGCTGAGAGATGAAAGCTCATGGCACGACAATTCATCACCTAACTAATCTTGACGTCTGGTGCAGTCACCATGACCCACTGCCACAGAAGCCACCATCGAGACCACCCTACACACATACTAGCATAATCAACACATGCCACTCACCTCCAGGTTGTTCCTGCACAGAAGCAGGGCGTTGCGGGCCAGCACCTCAGAAAAGCCCATGTCTTGCAAAGTTCTCATGTGTTCACTATTGGGCTCGGGGACCTGCACTTCTGCCATATCCTGCATGCCCAAACATGCGCAACCATATTTAGTGGTTGCACACAGATCTTGATGTTGGACTGGGGCAACGATTGAGATTGTATTCAGGACATGCAATGTGTGGGCTCAATGCTTGACATCGCCTTGAGGATTTTATGCATTCCGTACCCAACGCTTGAATTTATTCTTGGTTGCCAGTGCTGTCCGGGTGGTATTTACCAAACAGCGAGCAAAGGCCTGCTTGCAAGATGAATCCATCAGTTCTCTTGTCATCCTTCTCCACAAGGAACAACGCACACATTCTACACATCTTCACAAGCCAAGAGGCCATTCACCCTGCCAGAGAATGCCATGTTCTGTGTGTGCAATCCAAAGAACCAACAATGCTTGCTGACACCCATTGAGATCTGCATCAGCAGCAGCGGACTGCATGACAAACAGCACTGTCACCACACACTTCAGAATGAAGTAAATCTTGATCCACTGGAAGGTCGCCACTTGGACTTTCACAGTGAAGGCTTGTGTAGCAGTGTGCTACAGCCCACTGTGGATGAATATGCTGCCCTTTGCTGGCTCATTGGCTCTACGCATGATTTGTGAACATCCTTGAAACAAATCTAATGATGGACACAACTGAAAGCAACAAGCCGCACCTCCTGTCTGCCCTGCACGACCGCAGCCGTTTCCCTCTGTACAAGGGCATCAAGCCTCCCCTCAAGAGCATCTATCAGGGACTGCAGCTGTCCAAGAGTGTCCGCTGATGCACTGACAGCTCGCCGTCTCTGGGGCTGGGGCTCCTCTGGTGCATTCAGCTTCTCCTCCAGGCCGTTGGCCTTGGCGTACTCACTTATGGCTGTGTTGATGGCGGCCATGTCAGGAGTCTGGCAATATGGGAACAAGTGATGGTAAGCAGTACGCACATCAACAGATGGTTTCGTGCTTTTCTGTGGTCCTTTCCAGTCTAATGGTTGCACTTGGAGGCATCTGTCCCATGTTGTATACTATGGACAGGAGTTCCACCAAGAGAGAGGGGCAATGAAGGATTGCCCAGTCCATGTCCTCTTGCTTGCTGTGGAAAGGAAACTTTGGCTAAAGATAAATGCTAGTGTCTTTCAGATGACTATTCAGGTGCCCAAGAACTAGAAAGTTCAGGCCTTTCCCTGTCAGAGTGCTTCGCTTTCATCTGTGATTGTGCCCAAGAGCAGCAAGACAACAGGCACAGGATCAAGAACATCATGGCAAGCTCTGTCGCGTTGCACAGTTCCTTGGCAGCTCTATCAGCAACCAAAGTCTGCAATGCAGACAAGGATGGCCCGGTGGCACTGGACGCTGAACCAGCGACAAGCATGCGGTTGGAGATGGAACGGGCGGGGGGTGCCCCAAAGGCATCTGACATTCCGCCGCAATTGCATTTTTCGACACCAGATTCCGATTGTTGAGCCTGAGCCACTCGCGATGCGAGATTCATTAGCCTCGAGAAAGCTCAGGCCCGTCCGGCGCGGTGATCTCACCGGCGTGTCTTCGGGCGGCTCCGGTTCCCGGACGTCATGGATGCGTACGACAGCCAGCGACTCCCCGTTGCTGATGCCCGCGCTGCTCAAGGAACCGCCGTGGTCGCGTAGTTTGCGGCCTTTGTACACCTGGCATCCGGCACGCGCAACGCGGGGCTGAAGTTCCGGCGCGCCCGTGCGCCTCACGGCGCGGGACCCCCGCGCGGACAACCATCGCCGAGACGCGCGATCAATCAAGCAATCGAGGGCGAAGCGCCGCACCCGAGGCACAGCGCCGACGCGGTTGAGATGGATTTCACGGTCCACGTCGACGGGGACTCCCAGACCCGCGGCTCGATCCCGATTCAATCCAACGGCTGGTGATGGGACGCAGCGCACAAGGAAAGAACACGGCGGTTGCGAAACTTCAAAATGGTTGGTTTCGCCAAGGCGAAGGGCGCCAGCCGCCCCTGGCGCGTGGCCGCTCCCTCAAAAACCCAACATTTCCACCCTCCCAAAGCGCCCTCCCCCCCCCACCCCCACCCCCACCCCCACCCCACCCGCCTCCCCATTCCCTACCAGGTTTTGATGTTCCGGGTCAGGCACCTCGAACTTGGTGCCCAGGCTTTCGTGCAGAAAGGCCTTCAGCTGCTGCACGGTCGTCGAGGGGTCCACCCGCGGCAGCCTGCAGGTGCCCCGCACTGTGTTGACCACCAGGTCCATGGGCCGGCTCGCGGCAAGTGGGCGGCAGCTGTGGTCGGGGGGGGCATTCGTCCCGCAGGTGGAGGGCAGAGTGGGCAGCGTCTCGGTACTTAGGGGGTGTTTTTTTGCGGCTTTCAGGAGACGTCTCCGACACCTGGGGTCGTCCAACGTAGGACCTGCAATAATTCGCCACGGTGATTTGCAACGCTGATGTGCTGGCCGCTGGCCACCCACTTCACCGGCCCCATCGACTGTTGGACTTATTGACGCTGCAACGCTGGTGCAAACGAATTGCAGCACGGCCGGCCGGCGGCATACAGTTACTGGCTGCACCAAATCGGTGACTTTCTGCACTAAATTGGTGACTGCTTGCACCAACTCCCTCCAAAACTTACCTAAACTGATATTTAAACCCTAAAACCTAAAACTAAACCTGCTGTAACCCTAATTCTAACCCTAAATCTTACCCTAAAACTAAACCTAACCCTAAAACTGAGGTTAGGACACAGTGTGCACGTGATTTAG